CTACTCAAATCATCATTAGGATATGTCGAACAAATCATTTTGAACAAGATTAAGGGTGCCCTAAAATTTTGTCTGCTACTATACGAGTGGCGTTCTTATCACAGTTTGTGTTCCTACCTAGAAGCCCTTGAAAATCTATGACGATTAACGCTAGATATCTCTTGAACAGTTAGCGGTATCCGACATCGCTCCACGAAATAATGCTTGAAGAGTAACAGGAACTATCGCAAGACAGTGCTTGAAAATTTAACAATACCAAACATCAATAGTCCTTGGTGACTTATGAGTACCTTCATATGATAGGCCATGAAGACTTATGGTACCCACAAAAGATAGGCCATGAGAACTTATGGGTACCCCATAGGATAGGCCACGGGGACTTATGGGTGCCCCCAAAGCATAGGCCATGAGGTCTTATGAGTATCCCATTCAAGAAGAAATAGGAATATTTAAAGTGGTTGACGAAGGTGTCTATGATACGGCCTCCTACATAAGAATTGTATCTCACAGACTCCTTGTACTCCGGTGTACTCCCGGTGTCCAGGGAGTACAATGGGACTACGGGAGTACAGTAGAGTACACGGAGTACGGGAGTACGTGATTTCTTCCTTGCTTTGACGTTAAAGTTAAAGTTAAAGTTAAACTCTCATCCCTATGTTGGACTCCCGTACTCTCATTGTACTCCCTGGACTCCGGAAGCACAATGGGAGTATGATGGGAGTACGGGAGTACGGGAGTACGGTGGGAGTATGGGAGTATGGGAGTACGGGAGTACGTGTTTTCCCCCTTGCAAGAAAGTTTAAAAAAGTCAAGAAAGTCAAAAAAAGTCAAAAAAGTCATGTAAATCATGTCTTAAGTAACATTAATAAAGAAGAAAAAAAATAATAAATTTTTATTCAATCTCGACGACGTATTGTGTAAAATAATATCTTCATATTCTTTTTCGACGGATATACACATACAAAACAGAAGAAAAAAAATGCATATATAACTCGTGAATGCTATGCACTAATTAGTTTCAACTTTTTCATTTCATGCATATATACTCGTTGTTATTCCATTTATTTACGCATCATATTTTTTATTTTATATTCATATAATTTCTACATTCATGGCTTTTCGAACATTATTTGTGGATACCAAAGTAGTACCTTCTGACGTGTTCACCTATCAGGATGATGTTTTTTACAATCTTATAAGTCAACTTGCTGGCCCAGAGGAGGCAGCTTTGCTTAAGATTCAAGGTATTCGAACAGTACATGCATTCTTACGTATATCAAATATCTTTGATGTTTTCAACATGAGGTCCGGGTGTGGGTGTGGATGTGGGTGTGGATGCGGGTGCGGGTGTAGGTGGATGTGGGTATGGGTGTGGGTGTGGGTGTGGGTCGGTGTGGGTGTGGGTGTGGGTGTGTGGGTGGGGGTGTGGGTGTGAGTTTAAATTAAGAGAAGAGACACCCACCCACACCCACACCCACACCCACACCCACACCCACACCCTGACCAAGAGTGTGGTTGTGGATCTTGCCATCACCTGTACCCGCATCCACCTTTATTATGAAATTGTTTTTTTTTAAGCACAAGCATTTACTTCAACTTAATGAGGTCCACAAACTGGGATGGTTCAATTCTATATTAAACGTATTCAATGTGAGTTTACATATACGATGAATGGTCGTCAAATCAATATGGAACGATTAGCAAAAAGTTCAAGAGTCGTTCTTAGTGTTTGATCCATGTGACATGTTGGCACTTGTGTACTTTTTTGTTGATGTATCTTGCTTTGGTTGCGGTCGTTCAACAGAAGTAATCAGTTTATTCGATCGTCGATCGTACTGAGCATCCTCAGATGACACTTGCTGCTCTCGATTGGACATAGTTGCTCCTGATAATTGTAATGAATAACAACATGAAGATAAAAAGCAAGGAGAAACAACTGCATCCGTGAATATTACGATTCCTGTGAACTCAAAGTAAGTTGGTTGAATTTCATTTAGTTATTAGTTTTCCTCGTTGTCTATAGCTGCCAGCTTTTTTTCTCAAAAAATGGGGGAAATCGACTGGTTTCATGAATTTATTAAGTCAAATGAATCGTATAAAATTTTTAAGTATAATGAATGTCATCAATATGATTAAGACTAAAATTGTGCAATCTGACGTGAAGCAACTGACTTTGCGATACATTAATTCATTCTACTAATTTCATTTGTACCCCATCCTCCTAAGAATCCAAAATGAATCCGTTCGTCCTAATTCGTCTGTTCCCTTCTTGCTTATGAGTATTCATCGAGCTTACTTTGCTTGTGCTCAATGAGTGGAGGATCCTCTGTGGCCATTTTAACACGCGCCATCGCCTTCATCATCCAGTTTAACGAATCGTTTATCTAAAGGCAGGGAAAAACTGATATACTCTGATCTAACAAATGTTCACACTCACCTTTTCAAAACGGCTATCGATCAGTTCAACACGCTTCTGTAGACTAGTAATATTCGACTCCACTGACGACAGTTTCTCTCTAGTTGCAATTTGATTTCGAGTAAGGTCATCCTTTAATTGATCTATATCAGATTTGAGTTGTTTTGACCAATCACTACTTCTTGACAACAGTTCGGATCTGTAAACACCAATCAAATAGATTACAAATGCTTGATCAAGCCAATGCAATTTTAGTGTACTGATTACCGATTTTATCGGCAAACTGACTATGGACATACTGAGTACATTGTACCGATGTCACTGAAACTGATAGTAAACTGACACTGAAATTCACTGAAATACCGAAGTCCACTGTCGCAAGAACGTTCAATAGTACTGCTTACGTTGGTGTTGATATTTAGTGGAATACTGGTACACCAATTCTTCCAAAATATACACCGTTTGGTGCTTTTATTCATAATCCTCAACGAGGAATATTACAGGGAGTGTATAGATTCTCTCTAAAAGTACTACAAATTGGAACTATCTATAATTTTGAATAATAAAGTCAACTTCAAAGAAGAACTTCACCGCTAGTTCTATTTCTAATTCATAAATACAGTTTTCAATTTCAAGGTTTCCTTTTAAATATTCATCTTTTTTTTCATTATTTTGACACATTGTGGGTAACTGTTCTTTTTGTCGAACTGTTCAAGAGAGACACAAAGCTCTTGATCACTCTAAAAATAATAGAATCTTAAGCTAACTTGTGACCTTCGTTTTCAACTTGCAGTGAAAATCTGGAGCACATGTTTGAGTACAAATCAAAGTTATATATTCAAACTTGTAAATTCCTATCTTGAATGCATGATTTTGTCAGATTCGTCTAAAGAAATCGGAGGTTTCACAAAGTTTATTCAATAAAAAATTTCAATTCATCTGTATTTTTACTCCGAAAGATGTCATAGTATTCTGTATATAAATTATAGTGAGTGAAAGTCTGCATCGGTGTATCAGCATTTCACTGAACACCGATATCAGTACAATCAATACTACGGAACATTAAGTTGTCAGTGAACACTTGGGTGGTGAAATCAGTGATAGTATTTTAGTGTTTATATTGAAACCACACATCATTAGTTTGATAGTGGTACTAATGAGGAACCTTTTCCAGGTGTGCAACGGCTCTTGCATCTGATATAGTGCTAAAGACAGATATCACTGATATGTAGAGAAGTCTCAGAGTGTTCACATTTTTCGATCCTTGTTCCTAATGTATTTCAATCACAATTACAATGCAACTTCTGTGTCCATTTTTTGATACTCGGACTTGGAACCAAAGTTTAACTCAGAAACTCATCTAAAGTTGAATAGTGAAGCATTTTTATTTAACAAAGTACTACCGAGTATGGGACACACAATCTATCTTGGCTGATACTCATCATAGCTAGCATCAAAATTCGTGCAAATTGAGACGTAGGATATTGAATCTTTAGAAATCGATACAGACGACCATTGACTGCAATTTTCGGTGTTTACAATCAGAAGTATTGAAGGAAACATATGTGCGATTCCATGGGATTTAGTGAGAACCTCTGAGAAACCGCAATGCTGTAAGAAAGTATTTTGGCTTCTTTCAGACCACCAATAGATAAAGCAACTAAAACTGCGCCTATGGTGAAAATTTTAGGTTCATCAGGTTTTTCTTTGATGGAAAAATTATCGCCCAGTTTTGAATGTGAATTTATCCATCGCGCATGAATTCAAGCAACAATCGAAAGTAAAGCAATGCATATTGTACTCTTGACTGACGAGGGAACACCCAGCTGTCAAATTGCTTTTTGCATGATGCGATTGCCATTTAATCTCTCTTGCTAAGTGCTGAAAAAGCCTATTCGATTTTGGTATTCCAGTCCTCTCTTGCCAAACTATGGGCATTTTACTCGATTTTTGGCACATAGTCATCGCTCTTCTGAATGGTTAAATAATTGAGGTTTCATCTGAAACCGCGTTCATAGTTAGCTCATAACCCATTAGAAACCCTCAAAGTTTGAACCAGAACAAACGCATCTTTACTGAAACATTCACATCTTAAAGAATTGCTCATTTTGTACTAGATTTCACTTTACGGACGTTTTCATGGTAAGCTCATGTCTCGATAAGGATACGTTGATTCTTTCTCAAACTTTCGGATTATTTAGTGGCAATAAGGTCTAACTATGAACGAAATCTTAGCTCAAAATTCAAATATTCAGCCATTCCGGGATCTGACGTTCACTAGTTACCAGGACAAAGCGAATGGTACTTGTCTCATCCGAAAATAAATTTATATGATTTGAAAGACGAAAACTTCGCTATTTTCTGGTATTCTGCTACTGACGAAACCGTAAGTATCATGTGTGAGTCATAAGGGACAATATCACGAAAGAATATATGATACAACAGAGACAACGATGCCCTTCTTGGCAGTCGAACGATGCATCTTCTATTGTTCAGACAGAGGCGGTAAGTCAGGTAGACTCGAGAAGTGATGTTAATTTGAGTTTTGCGTCAGCATGTATCAATACCGACGTTGAAAAAGACATACGCAACGATATTTATTCTATTACTTTTGCATCAGATCTTATGTTACAAGCTATAGCTTTGAAACTTCAAAATGTTTCAACAAGACTTCATAAAAATTCAACCGACTTCATAAGAGTTCGAGACTGAAGCTTCTGTTGTTTTTCTCTCATTTTTAACAATATGCAACATATAACATTGTATGTGATATTATAAGGAATTTTCGTCGAACTACTTTCTATACTTTCCAATTTTCGGTGTTTTTCTCGCGTCTGGGCTATTTTAAGCGGAGTGCGCCTGTACTAAAATTTCGGCAGACACAATAATAAACTTTGCTGATCGCATTACGTTAAACATTGGCCTTACCTCCTTGTTGGTGCTTCTGACACGTCTGGCTGCGATAAAACCACTGAGGTACCTCTCCTATAAGCTTGGTTTTGACGAATTTCCGACACAGTTTGGGTGTAGGCAGCATCAAAGCCAATTTTTAAAAAATCCACATATATTCGACCTGATATTAAAATGCCCAACCATCCATCGGCTTTGTAACCAGCCTGTACTCTGATTGGAACCAAATGACGTTGTTGTTCAAATGCGTACTGCGCTTCAGCTTGACAATATGGACTTAAGAAATAATTCTCACTCATACATATTAGAACACAACGTGATTGCTCAACTGCATCAGCCATTGCTTGCATCACTGCACCATGCATTCCTTCAAGATCAATCCATACACGGAATTTATCGGCAAGAAGAGCATTGTATATTCGATGGCATATAGCTTTATCTTTATGAGAATATGATATCATAACGTCGTACGGAAACTTGGGTTCAGCCTTCCCGTGCTTGGAAAATAATCGCCATAAAATGCCGTTAGCAGCTTTCTGTAAATCAGGCGTATTCTGATGCGATGCTAATGTTCGTAAATGCTGAACAAAAGTATTATTTTGTCGAAGCCAAGCTTCAGCTTCATGATTAAATGTTAAGAACATAATAATCTCAAGTGCACGTAGTTGCACTTTTTCAGGATCGAACTGAGTATCTGTTGCGTACCTAACGAGAAGAGGAAGACCTTTGGGGTGTTTTGAAAATTCCAGTTTGATTTGATCATGTTGAATGAGACCTGCAACAAAGAAGATGGTTTTCTAAATATGTTTAGCACTCTCAATTGAAATCAACATGACTCTACCGAAATAAAATATAAAATTGCCCTGAACAACACTAATTACTCTACGGATTGATTGCATGTTTACCAAGCTTAGAAGTTTCCAGTTTCTGTTTAGTTTTCAATATTCAGCTCGATTTTCAGTTTAGATTTTTCTATCCCACTCGCATGTTTCTTCTCAATACCGTCGGTAAACCGCGGTAGTCGGAAGAACCACTGATATACCGTAAGCATACTGCCGATAGCACCGTCAACTTCCGATTTCAGTTCTGAATAATTGCAAAGGGCATTTCCTGCTTAGATTCGAATTTACTATTAACAAGAATTTAAAATTATAGAGAAAACAATTTTACGATTTTTTAGAATAATAATAATATTTGCAGTGTCATCGATAATGAAAAATTAGTCTCAGCACTCGGACCAATTTGGGTTCTGTGACTAGTACAGATGACTCAGACGCATCCACATTATCTGAGGGCACTGATTTTCACGAAATTTTGACGGTTTTATTAGACTCAAAAGATATTCAGTCGTTGCAATGCACAACTTTCCGAAAAACCCGACGGCTTTTTTCCGGTTCGAATCACATGGGATTTGTTTTGAAAAAGAATGAACAATAGGACTTTACTTTGGTCAGCATTGCTTTTGAAAATGCTATGAATACTACTACTAGTCAGACGGTAAAGACGATTTACGATTGTCTTCATTTTGTTGTTACGCATTACACCCGATTGCAGGAGCGTAAGGAATAACATCGGTTTGCTGTGAAACTGTTTTGCTAGATGATATAAGCAGAATAGTGAATGGTGGATACAAAGCACACGCTTGCAACAGAACCGGCAAGTCTACCTGTGTCGACCGGGTATGATCCAGTAAAAATTTTAAGACCAGTCAGTTTTCATCCGTTTATCAACTTTTAGGGCATCCAAACTAGTTAACTTTGCTCTGTTTTATTGGCTTTCATGGCTTTAACAATGAGAAGGTATGAGTCTAAAAATCTTTAACAGATAAATAAATAGTTGTCATCAAACTTTCAGCTGTAAACTGTGAGCTCATAGTTTCTCATACGACGACGAGATTCTCAGATTGTGCACAACGACTTCATTATGGTCAAGCAAGGTTAGCAAACCGTCAAAAGCTAAATTTAGTTTTAACTAAAGATTTCTCAAATCAAAATTTCAGGTTCATTGTTTTGAACAACTTTTTACCGAGTGTCGCAAACTTCCAATATCTGGTCTGTTTTCACTGCACACTTTTATTATGAGAATATTAGAAAAGATTTCCTGTTATTGTAAAATCACTGCCAAATACTAATCTCGTGCAACTGTGAAAATATTCAGGTATTAAAAAAAACTAAAATATGATATATAATATAAAAATGAACTCTGTAGTATATTGTGTCTTTCCAAGGGGAAAAAGCTGATTGCAGTCAAAGCAATTATTGTCAATCATTGTCAATCAATAGTAACTATTAATAATTGTTCAGAATAAAGCAAGGGGGAAAAAGCGAGACTTCATCTACTTCAAGAAAAAAGTGAAGTAGGGTGTGGGTGTGAGTGTGGGGGTGGGGTGTGGGGGTGGGGGTGGGGGTGTGGGTGTATGACTTGTTTTCATCGATATACACACCCACCCACACCCACACCCAAAGTTGAATCTAACTTAGTTGTATTGTCTTGTCCTTCGTCTCGCTATAAAATTTTTACTCAGGTTGTACTAAAGGAAAAAAAGTGATGCATTAATTTATTAGGGATGCTGCTTTCGGACAGTTTTCGACTTCCTAACAGCCTTGAAACCTTCACCGTCATAAATACTAAAGAGACTGATGACGTGTCCAATCAAACCTGTTTAACTCTGTTACTGCTCAAAAGACTCTTCTATCACTTACTTTTCAGACTGAGAAACAGATTCTCTATACGTTGCATACGTAGCTTTCTTGTGGATTTTTCTAGATAAGTTATGAAAACATTGGTGATCTGATCTGGATTTTCCAATTGCTTAATGTCATCGTCACTGAGAACGACAGCTAGTAATCGATAGGCGTGAAACTGAGTTTTATCGAATTTGGCCTGTGTGAGTTTGAGAAGAAGTGGCGTAATGTTACGTTCTTTAAGTATATGACGAAGCTCAGGGTAGAACGATGTTGCATATATGTACAGAGTGGTAAAACAGACAAGTTGACTAGCTCGTTTATGAAGATTACCAAACTTAGAATCTTCATTCGCTAGATGCCACAATTCTTTTCCTTGAACGATTTCAAGTGCATAGTCAAGCATTTTGTTATGTTGTACGCTATATTTGGAAAGAAGGTCATCATCAGCGCAATATTGACAGAGCCAAACCAAATAAAACATACACCATATTACCGACTCTTTCCAATCGTCAATGAATGGTAAAAAGTGTTGCAAAATTTCTAACGATCGACTCAACGCTTGTTGAGCTACTATGCACGCAGCTTCCTTCTGACGCTCACCCCAAAAGCATACTATGTATTTGGGACACGTTATGAGAATAAGTTCCTGAAAGCTTGTTAGGTCGTCTTGTTTGACAAGTAATTGAAAGAATGCTGTTTTGTATTCCACCGAATTCTCAAAGTCGACAATGCGCATTGTTAACGTAAAAAGAATCGGATCATTTTGGACAGTTGGATACTCTTTTTGAAATTTTTGGTATGCATTGATCATATGCCTAATTCCGTCAATCAGTCTGGAATTTGATGTCGCCAATAGACCACTGAGAGATTCGCTCAAGCATTCTACAGTGGTCGCATTCACAAGAAGTTTCTGGAACAAATGTATGTGTTTGTTGTCTGCATTGTCCGTCAGTTGAGAAAATAGTTGACCAATATGGCATAATAAGTCAAAGTCCTTAACAGGTTTTCGAAGAATATTGACGAACGTGTCTCTAATACGGACAAAGAGTGGATGGTCGATTATATGAGTGCAGGGTAAATTACTTTCGATGAGAGCATTAATAATGTCGTTCAGATATTCGTTACTATCCTGTGGAGCTTTACGCATAATTTCATCGAAGTATGTTGACAATTTTTCCTTGTCATCATGGTTCCATTCACGAAGAGTTGTTAGAATGGCTAAATTCATGATTGTAGAATTGTCTGCTTCCTGAGAAAAAGGTATTCTAAGGAATCATTAATGATTTTCGCAAAGATACGAAATCTTTAAGGTTCCATTTATTTATTAATCAATCAACAATAATTTTCGATAACTTAAGCCTCTCCCACTCCTCAAAAAAGTCATTTTCAGTCAGAATTATCGAAATTGAGAAATGCGTAGAAAGATAGCGTGTGGTCTGCTCTTTCATAAACGAAAGGGAGGGGGTGTGGGTGGGTGTGGGTGTGGGTGTGGGTGTGGGTGTGGGTAAGGTTTCGGCATGATCTGTTGTGAAT